AGTAACATTCACGATCTAGATATAAAACCCACCCACCCTCGATTCCCACAACATTGAGAAATACAAAGTTTCATTTCATATTTACAGCTGCAGTTCTTTCCCACTATACACTGCCGAATCCTCTTTTTATTTTCAGACCTTTGTTCCTAAACTCTAAAGGCCAGCCTAGAGCTCTAAACACCAAACCCTGAAGGCCGAAACTTTGTAAGAATAATTCAAACTGGCAACCTTCGTGGAACTACTTAATGGATTCAAGGAACAAAGTCTTTCATTTCTTGCGGTAAGACCCTTCGATATTTAGAAGTTCTGTATCTTAGTATTGTAGGTGTTGTGACTTTTAAGCATGCTATATGCTTGTAGTGCGAACGTCCACCCTCAAATTTCTGTATATTTATTGTAGATGTTGTGCATAATAAGAACACTACAACTTTGTAACGCGAACGTCCACCCGGAAATTTCTGCATCTTGGTATTGTAAGCGTTGTGAGCTTTGAGGTCACTACAAGCTTGTTACGCGAATGTCCACCCGGAAATTTCTGCATCTTGGTATTGTAAGCGTTGTGAGCTTTGAGGTCACTACAAGCTTGTTACGCGAATGTCCACCCGGAAATTTCTGTATCTTTATAATGTAGCATCGTGAACTTTAAGGCCATTACAAGCTTGTAACGCGAACATCCACCCGGAAGTTTCTGATAAGCGTTGTGAACTTTAAGGACACTACAAGCTGGCTGAAAGCATGGGTTTGGGTGAGATCAGGGCTCTTCTGGCCTGCCCTGCCCTGTCCTGCCTGCCCTGTCCTGCTGGCTGGTCTGGCTAGGGGCGCTGCCTGTGGGCCGCGTAAACCAAGTTTAGCCTTAAACCCGGTTTAGGCTTAAACCCGGTTTAGGCCGGGGGGGTGGCCATCTTCGCGGAAAATTCCGGGTTTGGTGGCCATTTTCGTGGAATCGAAGGGGTGGCCATTTTCAGGGCCGGGGGGGTGGCCACCTTCGCGGAAAATTCCGGGCCGAGGGGGTGGCCACCTTCGCGGAAAATTCCGGGCTTGGTGGCCAAATTCGCGGAAAAAACGGTTTGAGGGGGTGGCCACCTTCGCGGAAAATTCCGGGCTGAGGGGGTGGCAAATTCGCGGAAAAAAACGGCCAAAGTGGCCATCTTCGTGGAAATGGGAGGAGGGGGGTGGCCATCTTCGCGGAAAATCCAGGCTTTGTGGCCATGGGGTGGCCATCTTCGCGGAAAATTCCGGTTTTGGTGACCAAATTCGCGGAAAAAACGGCAGAAATGGCCAATTTTCCGCAAAAAGTATAGGGTTTAAATACATATGATAAAGAGTGTTGAGGGTTTAGGGTTTAGGGTTTAGGAACCCTCTGACGGAACCCTAAAACCCTACCTTAACCCACCAGAACCTACTTTTTTGTAGGGTCCCTATATAATTTCCATATTAGAGCTTATAATGAGAACCTACAGAAAAGTAGGTTTTGGTAGGTTAAACCCTAAACCCTAAACTCTAAACCCTAAACCCTAAACCCTAAACCCTAAACCAAAACCCTAAACCCTAAACCCTAAACCCTAAACCCCCTCGAGGATTCCCTGGCATCCGACATGGATGCTGCCGTGGAGACGGCCCACGTCCACAGCTCCAAACACCTCCGCTTCTCCGAGGCCAGGAGCTGCGAGTTTGGGGGTTTAGGGGTTGTTTACGGTTTAGGGTTTATTAGGGTTTAGGGTTTAGGGTTTATTTGGGTTTAGGGTTTGGGGTTTATTGGGGTTTAGGGTTTGGGGTTTATTGGGGTTTAGGGTTGAGGGTTTATCTGGGTTTAGGGTTCAGGGTTTATTTGGGTTTAGGGTTTATTAGGGTTTAGGGTTTGTTAGGGTTTAGGGGGGTTCAGGGTTTAGGGTTTTCAAGGGTTTAGGGCTTCGGGTTTCAAAGTTTGGATCAAAGAAAATCTGTTCCAGAAAAGATGCCACATGCCGACAACATACGGAGCCCTGTAAGACACAACGTGCTCGCCTGCTTCACACCCCCCAAACCTCAAGGCTGTGCATGCAATCCCTGAGCAAACCCTAGACCCCTAAACCTCGAGCCAGAATTCGCGAATGCTACGCCCCCCCAAAACCCTAAACCCTAAACCCGCGAGGTTACAGAAATCTCGCGCCCAGTCTTGAACGACAAGTCTGTGGAGGAAGACGAGGTACGCTTGATGGTGTAGTGTCTAGGGCCTAAGCTGAATCGACATGTAGAGGGTGAAGGTCAAGAAGTACGCATCAGGGTTCTATGGAGTTTGGCTTGGTTGCCTAGTGCATGTGGCTCTGTTCGGTGCCCAAGGCCCATACTCATGATACCCTGCGGCTTCAAAGCATTCGAGCATGCCTTTCGGGATTAGGATGAAAGATTTCGGGTTTGGGGTTTAAGGTGTAGCTTTAGGGCTTAGGGCGTTTAGTAAAATAATTTAGGGTTTAGGGCATAGTAGGGCCCACCATTGCAATTCGTGCGAGCGACCACCCAACACTGGTTCTCACGATTAGCAACAAGGATCTATATGGGTGGTTCTCTAAATTAGGGTCCCTTTTTGGGTCCCCAATATAGTAGGGCACCCTTACAAAATGGACCCCAAAAGGGACCCTAATTTGAAACTGCCCATATCCGTATCTGTTTCTAGGACGTCTGTAGGCTCAGGGCCTAGGGCTAGGGTTTAGAGAGACGGGCTGCAGGGCCATGGAACTGGAAAACTTGATTTTATCGCCAAGCCGTAAACCCTTAACCCTAAACCTCAAACCCTGAACCCTCAGCCCGAAACTGTAAACCCTAAACGAGGACCTCGGGCGAGTTCTTAAGGTTCAGGGCCCAGGGTTTTGGGGCTTGCGGCTTCGGGTAAGGGCCTAATGCTCGGGCTTATACCTCCCGATTACTGGGCCCTTATGAAGAATCACTTGTTCTTGTCGTGGTCCGTTTTGGGTAATTAAGATTGTTCTGAGTTGATTCCTTGATGTGCCCACCAGTTGGAGGAGGGGTGGTTTGCGGCTGAAGGGTTCAGGGTGCCGAAACCCTTAACCCTAAGCCCTAAACCCTAAACCCTTAGAGTTTTTTGGGGTGTAAGGTGGCAACCAGGCGGGGAACAAAGAGGCACCAGGGCGAGATCCGAGACCTTGTTGAGCCCTCCATCCTAGACTTAGCTAAAATCTTATAACTCATCTATATCTATGGTTTAGGGTTTAGGGTTTAGGGTATGATTTTTCATCTATATCTATGTTTCTATCTCTATCTTTATCTATGTGTGTCTATAGTACACATCTTAACCTCTTTGATTACCATTAAAAAACAACTAGTTTTTGATTTTTTCGATTATTAAACCCCAGAGCCTGAGGTAGAAGCAGAAACCTCCCTGGGCTGGTGTAGGGTTTGAAGCTGAAGTGTTTCGGTTTTCGGTTTCAGGGTTTAGGGTTTAGGGTTTAGGGTTTCGGTTTTCGGTTTCAGGGTCTTGAGATGTATTGAGCCTCTTCTCTGTTTGCACGCACACTTGTTGCGAGGGAAGTGTGGGTCAGGTGAACCCTAAACCCTGGAACCCTAAACCCTAAACCCTAAACCCTAAACCCTAAACCCTAAACCCTAAACCCTGGAACCCTAAACCCTGAACCCTGGAACCCTAAACCCTAAACCCTGGAACCTGGAACCCTAACCCCTAAACCCTAAACCCTAAACCCTAAACCCTTTCTGAGCAAGCCCAACAGGCCTCCCCTCGTCCCTGAACAACTCGACACCCAAGCCGCTACACCCCTAAACCACTAAAGCTCTCGCCGTTAAACCCCAACCCATAGTTATGGGCCCTAAGCCCTAAACTCTAAACCCTAACCCTTAAGCCCTAAAACCCAAACCTAAACTCCAAAATTAAGCCCCTTAAAAAAGCCCTAAACCCAAACCTAAACTCTACAGCTAATTTGCCAGCAACCCTAAACCCTAAACCCTAAACCCAGAGATACAATGGGGATGTCCTTGGCAAGTTCAGCTGTCGTGATGGGCAAGCAATGAGAGGGGGTTTGTTCTAGGTGTTCGGCCCTAAGGGCTGAGACTGGACCTCTGCAGAGAGAAAGTCCCACAACACACTTAAAAAAAAAAAAAAGGTTTAGGGTTTTGGTTTAGGGTTTAGGGTTTAGGGTTTAGGGTTTAGGGTTTAGGGTTTCGGGTTTAGGGTCCCTAAACCCCTGCCTGTAGCAGGCAACTGGCGTCCCAATGGGCCTCCTGGAGGCCGGTCAGGGGCTGCCTCAAAGGTTTAGGGTTTACCTTAAGAACCCAACACCTACTTGTTTGTAGGGCCCCTATAAATCCCATATTAGGGTTTATAATAAGAACCTACAAAAAAGTGGGTTTTGGGTTCTTAAGGTAGGGTTTGAGGTTTGGGGTTTAGGGTTTAGGGCTTAGGGGTTATAGGGTTAGGGTTTAGGACTTAGGGTTTAGGGGTTTAGGGTTTGGGGTTTCAGGATTTTGGGTTTCGGGGTTCACGGGTCTAGGGGACTTGGGAACTCCAAAACCCTAGCAAGTCGGTTTTTGGTGCCCACAACCCTACTCGAATTAATAAGGCCACGAAAGTAGAGGTCGGAATTTTTACGTAGAAGCTATAGTTACCAATAGTACCACCTCGTTGACCCCCGCAGTCCCCACAACCCTAGGACCCCTTTTACTCCTTGTTCAGGCGCCGGAGAAGCCCATACTAAGGCAGGTCAGCAAGGGAAGCGAGGCACGCCGGGGGCAAAAAGCATCGAAACGAATGGGGCATTCCAGACAGGTTGGGGGTTTATGGTTTCGGGGTTTACGGCTGAGATTTGGCCTTTGCAATAACACGCACAGGGTTTAGGGTTTTGGTTTTGGGGGGCATGGTTTTAGGATTTGAGCAAAGGTTTGTTCAGGAGCCAGGGGGGTGTAGGGTTTCGTTTAGGGGGTTTGTAGAGTAGTACCCTTGCAAGCAGGGTTGATCATCGACATGCTGGACCCTAAAGCCCAAACCCTAAACCCTAAACCCCTAAACTCTAAACCGCTAAACCGTCCACCCCTAAGCTCTAAAGCCCTCACCTCGACCCGAAGACAAGACTCGAATCCTCAAAATCCTGAACCCTCCGGCCCAAACACCCAGTTTAGGGTTTAGGGTTTAGGGCCTAAGTCCAAAAATGAGGGACAAGCCCTGGGCCATAGGATGTAGGCCTCATGCCTGACGAGTTCAAGACCCTGATACAAAGGCCTTCAGCCTTGAGCCATCAACCCTAAACCCTAAACCCTGTACCCTGAACCCTATGCCCTAACCCTGCCTCCCCTTCGTGGGCTTCGGAGTGCAGGCGACGACAAAAGGCCAAAGAAAAAAAATCGCAACCCTAAATCCCGCGCCCTAAACTCTGTACCCTAAACCCTAAACCCTAAACCCAAAACCGTAAATCCCAAACCCTGAACTCCCAAAACACCGAGAGGATGGGTCCAACTCAGACAGCCTGGCCGACGAGGACTGGGAGTGATTGGGGTTTAGGGTTTAGGGTNNTGGGGAGTTCTCTAAATTAGGGTCCCGTTTAGGGTCCTTTTTATAAGGGTGCCGTACTATATTGGGGACCGAAAAAGGGACCCTAATTTAGAGAACTACCCATTTAGGGTTTAGGGTTGAGGGTTTAGGGCTAAGGGTCCAAAGGGCCCAATAACTGGGTACCTTTGCTTTGGGATAGTAATCATGTAGGTTTCTACTACGCAGAATGTTTTTGATCATTAGGTGCTTGGGCTCTTGGGGTAAACCCTCTGCTTCGGGGATGTATGGGGTTTTGCAGGCTTTTCGGCGAAGCCCTAAGCTAGCAGGTTTTGCATGTAAGGGACTGAAGAAGTAATTGCCAGCGATATCCCGGAGGCTTCCTAGTGAAAGAAAAGCAGAATGACCCCAAAACCCTTTTCCAAATTGGTTCGGTGTTGCTCTTTAGATTTGGGGGGCCTCCTGGGAAGGGGTTAGGCGTATCGGGCTTGGCTGGACTGTCAGGGTAAACCGTAAGCCCTGAACCCTAAACCAGGGCGGGATCTAGGGAGTATGAACCCTAAACCCTAAGCCACAGGCGTTGGGGGTTTGTTGCCACCTACTCCTGGTCACCACGGCTTTGGGCTGCGGATAAAGGAGCTTAAAACACAGACACACACAAAACCTGAAACGTTGTGATTGTTTCCTCGCTACCCGTTTCCGTGTGTTTGTTTGGATTTTTTGGGAGGAGACCGCCATGCACCTTACATGATATAATGTAGGGGTCTGAGCAATCATTCAGAGTATCACCTCATCCAGGCCCTCATGTAGGAAACCAGAAAGGAACTCTTTTTGTGCAAGGCCCCTATATTGGGATATCTGCTGCGGCGCGCAAGTCGTTCCTGGCACCAGAAGTCGTGTAACAACAAAAGCCGAAAGTCCGAAAGCCTAACCGAAGGATCAGGGAACTTGCCACGCAAGTGCAAAGCAACACTACAAGGGTACTATCAGGGTACGACTAAAGCCTAGCTATAAGTACCATGACCCCAAAGACGGTATTTACAGCCCTGCTTATATCCTAGCCTAGCCATTAAGCCCTATGAATCTTTTCAGTAAGCCAAAGCACAAGTACGACCATCTGTGGTTCAGGGTTTAGGGTTTGGGCTTTGGTTTAGGGGTTTAGGGCTGAGTGTCTGGGTGTTTAGGGCAATGGGTTCAGGGTTTCAGGGCCTAGAATTTCAGATTTGGGGTCTGCGGTTTAGGGTTAAGGGTTTAGGGTTTAGGGTTAAAGGTTTGGGGTTTAGGGGTTTAGGGTTTAGGGTTAGCCCTAAACCCCAAACCCTTCTGTAACTCTCCGATGTCTCACATCGAACGTCCCCGAGGTCGAGCCTTAGCCTGAAAAGCCGGTCGTCCTAAGCTTAAGGTTTAGGGTTTAGGGTTTAGGGTTTAGGGGACTTCATAATTCGAATAGGGTTTCTTTAAGGGGTTCCTTAGAAGGGATATCATCAGGGCTACAATTCTGTAGTATAGGGGCCTTAGGAATTAGAATGGGGTTTTGGGGTGTACTATACTATATTCATAATATGGAACCTTCAAAAAAGTATAGGTAATTATGTAGGCCCCTACAGCAAGCCATAACAGCCGCGACGGCAAGATTGTTTAGGGTTTAGGGTTTAGGGGCAGAACAAACGACGGAACTGTAGCAAACCCTAAACCCTGCACCCCAAAACCCTAAACCCTAAACCCTAAACCCTAAACCCTAAACCTGAACCCTAAACCCACACCCATGAGCCCTGGAATCTAAACGCTGAGCCCACCGACAGGATGTCAGCCGCAATGTCAGCAGCATCAGCTTCGTTGGGGTGCATAGCCAGACCCTGGGCGCGTTTCTGAGACGGTTAAGGGTTTAGGGTTTAGGGTTTAGGGTTGAGACTGTGCCGTTTCGATATTGGGAGTTTCCGAACATGAGGGGTGCCTTATTTTGGGGTCCTTATAATGAGGATCCTACCATTTGTGGTACTATATTAGGGTCCCCTATTTTCGGAAACCCCCATATGTCATTCTTATGGTTCTGACTAGTACTACTACTGTTGTGATTAGAAATGCATTCGTATCATTATACGAACGTCACTCTGTGTCAACATTGCTAAAACACTTAGCGGACTGTAGCCTAAATCCTGAACCTTGAACCCTAAACTGCAGTGCAGGGGGAGGCACGAGCGGATTCTGCGCCCCAGGCATCTTGGGGTGCCTGGAGCTTCTAAAACAGATTCTGGGTTCGGAACATCGCACCGCAACCACCAAGCCACAAAACTCCAGGCGTCTTCCGATTTTCATAGCTTCAGGAGCTGTCAAGCCTTGCTCTCTCTAGGACGGAGGCCTGAAGCGAAAACCGGGTGTTAATAATGTAGATATGCTATGCTATGTGCCCCTACTCGTCGTAGTCGCAGTCGCCGTCGCAGAAAAGTCGTAGGAGGAGGAGGAGGAGGAGGAGGAGGAGCAGGAGGAGGAAGAGGAGGAGTGGTGGTGGTACCAGTAGTGGGAGTAGTTGTAGTAGCAGTAAGAAGTTGTAGTGGCAGCAGCACTCGTAGCCGCAGTCATAGTAGTGTCTTTGTCGTTGTCGCAGTGTTGGTGGCAGTCGAGGCTACAGTCTAAATCCAGAAAACCCTACACCCTAAACCCTAAACCCTAAACCCCTAAATCCAGAAACCCTAATTCCCTAACCCTACACCCTAAACCCTAAACCCCTAAATCCAGAAACCCTAAACCCCTAAATCCAGAAACCCTAATTCCCTAAACCCTGAGTGTCTGGCCTACCGAGGAAGAGCGAGCGCAGCGACGACTTGCCTGTCGCCGCGCCTTGGCGTAGCCCCTCCGGTGCCCCGGAAGCCTAAACTCCTAAAACCGACCTCGAGCAAGTGCACAGGGTTCAAGGTTGCCGGGACAGGTTTAGGGTTTTAGGGTTTTAGGGTTTAGGGTTTAGGGTTTAGGGTTTTGGGATCGACGCGTGTTGGGTTCTGGGGTTTGGGGGTTGAGGGCTTAGGGCCAGCTTCGTCCCAAGTTGCCCAGCAAATCCTCCCGGTTGTTCGTCTTGGAGTTTCGGGTTTAGGGAGAAGTCTTAGAGCTCGCTCTGCACGCCCTCAAACTAGAAAGAAGTACCAACACCCAAACCCCCAGACCCAAACCCTCAACCTAGTACCCTAAACCCTAAACGCCCAACCCCAAAAGCCCCAAAATCCCCAGAGGCCCCAAGACGCTAAACCCTAAACCCTAAACCCTAAACCCTAAACCCTAAACCCTAAACCCTAAACCCTAAACCCTAAACCCTAAACCCTAAACCCTAAACCCTAAACCCCAAGCCCAAGAGCCCGAAAAGGAGCGGAGCATGAACCACAAAAACACGAAGATGTCCGTCAGCTCCTGGGTTTCAGCGGCCTGGCTGGGTTTGGGGAACTTGAGGTCTTTCCGGGGTTTTGTGAGGGTTTAGGGTTCAGGGTTTAGGGTTCAGGGTGTAGGGTTTCAGGGTTTAGG